TTATTTTGGAAAAAGCATAATTTTTTATGTAAACTTCACCTATTAAATTTCAATTACGCGTAAAAAATTACATATTATTAACGAGAATAACTAAATTTTCAGGCTTTTATAGATAAATTTATAATACGTTTTAGTAATAGTTTAGTTACTATAAAACTATGCATCTATATATAAAATAGCTATTTAAAACATTTATCCGACTTCAAAAAAAAGGTTAACAATTTGACTAGTATACGTTTAGTTGGATAAACATAATATGATGATAAACCAGGTTTATTGCAACTTAAATGTCATCAAAATCTATTCAGTAGCTTTTGAGTTAACACGCATTTAAATAGTGTTGAAATATTTGAAGTCGGTTTAATTTTTCTAAATTATTTTGAACCTTTAAACCAAGTATATCAATGTTAAAACAAATGTTATACTAACCATTATAAAGGACGGCGTCTCTTCCTTGGCTTCGGGCTCTTGATCGAATTTAATCGACCGTACAGCGGATTTCTTCACTACCGGCTCATCTGAAGTACGTCGCTGTGCCTATAATACATATTTACTAATTAATTTTATTTAAATTTTATACATTAATAAAAAAAGGAAATCAGTTTACCATTTACTACTTTGTCGGTAAATACTTATTCTGGCCATAAATACTGTTACAATTAAAAATAAACAATATATTACATTTGAATTTGGAATCTATCATTTTTATAAGACTGTTCATTGAGTTTTCTCATTTTGGCGCCAATACATTGTACAATATTTTGCGATATTAAAATGGAGTGGGGATAAGGAGAACCGAATCGCTGTGATTGCATTACACAAAGTAAGTATGGAGCCAAATTTGTATTAGTAAAATATTTGTGTACCGGGCTATAATTTATACAACAAATTTAAACGGTTTGCTAACATTTGTAAAGATAAAACACTAGTCTCCTATTTTCTTCAAAGGCCAAAAAAATCCGGCAATTGGGCCAAAAGCATTCAAGAATTTGTTTCAATATTGCAACCATATTGTCCGAAAACCTCATGACTGAAAATCTTATGATAACCGGAAAAATGGAAGGAACGAGACGCAGTAGACACTGCCTAACACGATGGAACGACCAGGTATCACGCCTGGGCACTACGGTCTCTAAAACCAGAACCCTAACTAACACATTTTGTATTAGAATTGTCGCTGAATAAGAAATGTCAAGTAAATGATTTATTTGACTTCATTCAGTCAATAATTATAGTCTAAATAACTGTAAAATTAAAATCGTTATTCATACATTTATTTATTTACAATGATATCGATATATAACGTAGAATAGACGCAGAAAGATTCTGCAATAAACAGTTTTACCCCACCACTATGTGAAACCAGCTGCCCACTAAAGAATTTCCGAACCATCAAGAAAACAGCGTACCAATTCTTAAAACATCGGCAACGCACTTGCGAGCCGTCTGGCAATGTGTCTATCACTTAGCATCAAATGATCCTTATGCCCGTTTCCCCCTGTTATTCAAAAAAACAGTTTCGTAACTTTTATCAAGTTCATACAAAGTGACGATTTCGGGGAGTTCATTAATAAAAATAACACTAGATTTGCGGATAAGATCATTATACGTATATATATACGTGCGGATTCCCTTATGTGGAATTCAATTCTGTATTTATAATAGTATTATTTTTTGGTCGCTTGTATATAATCGATTTAAATGCACTCTGTATTGCATAATATCTAATAATTACTAAGCAGAAGTACATTACCCTGCGCTGTCTTGACTGATTCAATTTAACTTAAATTGCCATGCGCAATGCAAGTACAAGCCATTGTTTGAAATTAATTGAAATATTCCTGTTTTAAATGTCTTAAAGATTACAATAATTATATACTTCAGGAGAGTAGTATATCTAAAACTAATTAAAATGTTTAAATAATCTGACAATTAAAAGCTAAAAAGTATTATCTTTCCCTCTTCAGTTGGTATCTCATATCTGAGCGTCGAAGTCAGCAATGAAACATTTGGAGCGGACTATCTGTTTCCACCGGTTTCTGTCCAGCGCCTCTCTTATGACAGTGTATAGTTTTGAGGACGATGAGTCTTTCACTTGATCGGTCCATCAGGTTGGTGAACGGCCACGTGATCTTTTGCCTTCTGTACCAACCACGATCAGTTTCTCCAAGTTCTCATCGCCTCGGCGCATTGTATGGCCGAAATAAGATATAATTCGCTGACAGCATATGCCTGACAGGTGAGTCCGTATGCGGAATGCGGTTTCGATGTCCACTTCAGGCGTTAAACTTATCCAAAAAATACGAAAGTTGACATATATAGTCAAGTAGGCCACAAAACTAATAATAGAAGTGTGCAGGACGTGTCTAGAAGAGATGGAAGATGGATAAAACGAGTAACATTATGGAAAGAACCAAGAAGACCTTTCTAAACCTGTGCCATACTGGCTCCAAGTAGCTTTTGTAAAAAAAAAATGGTCTAATAAATTAACCTATAATATTTATGTTTGTATAAATCTAATTAAGCATGCCTAAGAAGAATGGAAAGAAGCATGGTGGGTGTAACACTGAGACATCGAAAGAAGAGATAAGATCAACAACCCGAGTTAGAGGATGTTATTAAGAAAATAAGGCAATTGAAATGGCGCTGGACTGGCCACATGACGAGATATAGCAGGTTGTAATGGACTAAAATAATTACAGAATGGCAACCACGCGATAGAAAAAGGTAAAGAGGAAGACAGAGCAAGAGATGGGCAGACGATATAAAGAGAATGGGAGGCACAACTTGGACAAGAGCTAACATCAGAAAACAGCTGGAAGAGGCCTATGTGTCACAGGACACGCTGATTACCAAAAACGGGTCATATTATGTATTTTAAGTTTTATTATGTAACATAAATTAGTGTTTATATATTATACTGGATGTCAGCATTAAAGGCTTAATAGTAATTGTAAAAAATCGAATAGTTGATTAATTGTTTTGTTGAAGTAGCATAGAAAATATTGATTTAATTGTAAATATTTAGGTTTTTGTTAAATTTTTTTTTATTGGTTGATTCTCGGTTATAGTTAACGATGATAATGATTTTTTAAATCTAATTTTTAATATAATACAATTGGAATATCAATTCTTAAAATGTTCCATAAAAATATGGCGACTTAAGAAAAGTAGTGGCGCCCTCTGTGATTAGGGCATTCAAGTATTACGTAAGGCAATTTGTGATGGCCCCTATTCCCATTTTTCACTATTTTTATCTAAAAGTCACTGTGGGGTAAAGTACCAGAATGGCTAATAACCTTTGTTAATTTTATTAAAAACAACATCCCGCCCCTGTTACACATTGTTACGTTTTACAAGACCCCCCCTTCCCCCACATTCATTACGTAATACTTGAACTCTTCCTTATTTTTTCAATGCTTTAATAATGGCACTTTTTTATATTTCTTTTATCACTTCTAAGTCACTTTGAAAATGTTAAAAAAATAATAACTTCATTATTAATGAAAGCTTATAAAAAAATTTCGTCAGATGTTAGTATATATATTTCTATTGTCTTTGATTGACATAACCTTTACACATTTAAAGAAAAAACTTTTTTAACCGGATTAAAGTTATGTATTATTATAAATTTACAATTATTTAACATAATTTTAAATTAATCCGACGTTTCGCGTGCTTTACAGCGTGCGTATCACCGTGACCAGAGTTTTTTTCTTTATATATATTTCTGCATTTGGTGTAACATAAATAAAACCAACAGTTACTGTAAGACATTTATTGAAAGAAATGACAACGGTTTGGACTTTGGAATGGGTACTATCAATATTGACAGCGAAAAAAAAAACAATACAAACAAATTTACATATTACAGCTATAGAATAAATTAAAACAATTTAAGACATAACAAAATACAACAAAAAATAAATAATGTTTTAAAGTATCAACACTGGCCTGTCAATATTGCGGGAGAGGAGCGGGAGGGAGGGGAAGTCATTAATTTCAAATATCATTAAGTAGCTGCCGATCTCATTAAAATAAATAATGTAATTATATTACGAAAATGCAAATTACAAAGCATAAATAAGACAGGTCCTTAGGATTTGTTAGTTCGATTATTTCAACGCCATCCAACAAATAAATAATACTCGCCAACGTAGACTACGTAATACTTGCAACTTATAATAATTTTGGTGCTTGGTAAACTTGAGGTAAACTTAACTAATCTAAAAAATCTAGTGTACAGGGTAAACTCTTTATAACGAATTTCAAGGGAACCAGTTTTATCGTTATAGAGAGGTATCGTTATACAGAGAGAAGAGGAAAGACCAATCGAATTTCATTACTATCAATAGGTAACATATATTCTGTTAACTATGCTGACGTGTTCTAATATGTCAATATTTGTTTTGTATTTTTTTGAGTATTTTGTCTGCCCATCTTGGGGAGCGTTCAAGTATTACGTAACGAATTTTGGGAGAAGGGGTTCCTTTTGTAAAACGTTACGATCCGTGGCGGGGATTAAATTACGCGTTATTGTGAATATTTTTTTTGAACTTAAACCTCATAATAGTAACTAAAGAGACACTAGGTGGTCACGAAACGTTTTACTATACTTGAGTACTGAAAAACGTTACATGGGGGGGTTCAATAATCTCCAAAAATTGCGTTACTTGAACGGTCCCGACAGTTGAACGAAAAATGGCACTCGTGTTAATGCAATTAACAATAACAAAGGCGAGACGGCTGTTTATAACGTCTAGTGTCTTTCGGCACCTCAATGGGTTAGTTTTGTAATCTGATTATAAAAACAATTACACTTATGTGTTTGATGTCTAAATATAAAAATATTTCTTCGTAATAGAGAGTGGCTGTTAAAAAGAGGGACGTATGGGTTTTGTGTTAAACGTTAGTGTTAGACGTTATAAAGAGTTTACACTATTCCGATGAACTGTCATCTTTGGTCCGATTCATAGAAAACTTTCTATCCGAACAGAACTTTACATATTATTAGTAAATAAATAATAATCGTTATACAACTCTTCGTTCTGCTTCTCCTTATCGTCTATCCACCACTGATTCTCTTTCTCATTTTTAATTTTATTCGTTAATATCTCGTCTATTCTGGACGTGGAGGGTTTTTGGTTGGTGACCTTGTAAATGTGGTCCACCAGGGCGTTGGTGAGGACTTCCTTGGGGGCTATCAGATCGTTGAGTTCGTTACCACCCGTGATGGTTTTTATCCTATCGGCGTTGAGTCTAGCGAAGGTTCGAGGGGATTCTAAGTTAGTGATGTCCTTGAAATGGTTATGGTAGTACGGGTGTGGGTTAGGATTAGTGGGGACGTAGGACCTGTGTTGTACCTTTGATTCCAATAAGTTGGAATTCGCTTGGAATTTTGTGTCCGGAGTGTTTTCCGCGCTGACCAGGCTGTGGAGGCTGGTCGATTCATCCAAGTAGTTCCGGTGCATGTTTGGGGTTGAGAATAGTTCGGAACTCTCGTCGCCGGCGAGGGTTTTGCTCTGAAATAGAACAGTATTGGATAACGTCAGATGTATGAAAATTCTTTTTATCTTTAAGAAGCATCTAATACTTTGTCAATTAGACCTTTAAGCCTAAGTTTAGAGTCGAAACTTAGGGCTAAGCATGACTTATGTATACATAAATCTTACTTCCGCATCTTAATGTTTTACTAATTTAAAAAAAAAAGGGGAAATTAAATCTTTTTGTATAGTTCAATAAAATTACTTTAAACTGTTTTTAAAGTTAATATCACGTATCAGGAAATGATTTCTGTATTTTTGCAATGATCTTCTTTCCATAGTACTCTTTTGTTTTTCTTTGTCACAGCGGAACAGACAAATGATTGATTTATGTCTAAAAAAACCTTCAAAACCACTGCTTTTCTTTATAAACAGAAATATTTCATCCATACATAGTTGTTATTTTTAGAAACAATCTTTAATCCATCTCTGTTAGTCAATGTGAAATCTAGGAATCAAGCATTATATGCGATGGCTACATTGCGTGAATATAACTGCTTCACTGCAGATAAGGTCTTAGGTACGAATCCCGGGTAAAAAAATATTTTCATTAAAAAAACATTAGCATTCTTAGACCTAAATTAGGATATGTGCGGTGTTGGAACACCCCGTGTTCGCTTCGTCAACAGAATTTCGGCCAGCCAGGAGTAAAATATACACCTTATTACAAAACGTGGATTAGAGTATCATGGAAGTATTTTAGAACGAATTAAAAAAAATCATTAAAATCCATCCAGGTCGTTACTATCCATGTATAGAACGTGTTTACAATAAGGCCGTGTAAGCACTCACCGGTGTCTCCACGACGAAGCTGACGTCAGGCACATGTGAATGGGGCGTGGATGTGGCCACGCCCCACGCCTGGGCCAACGCCTTTCTCGCTCTCTTGTGCGACGGCACGTTCTCTTTCCCCAAGGAGGCCGTCCCTATACCGCTGTCGTTCACCTACAAATAGTTTTGGAGTATTAATATCAGGTGTAATTCCATTGACGACACTCGATTTAACGTCAAAATGTTTTTGGTGTGTTTGTGTGCTAACTTTTTCTCCATATAACGCCAGATTGGACAGATATAATGGCTATCTCTGATCTCGTACGATACGTGAACCCCGTGTACGTATGGACGTGTCTATGTGCGCATAGTGTTCGTTGTTGTCGTATAAACACTATATAAATAATAAAACTTGTGTGAACTCAAAGATGTATATATTTATCGTAAAAATAAACCGCGGCGTCGGCAGCGAGTTGCACGTGTGTCGCTTAAGAAATCGTGGGCCGTACTGGTGGCGGAGCGCGCTGTGGAATGCGCGTGCCTCGCCCCCCGCCTGCCGCGGAGAACAATAGACACGGTCTATACGTAGAAGTTGGTAAGTACATTTTTAATACATAATTTAATTCTTAGTAATTTTTATTGATGTTTTATTTCAGCTACCAATGACGACGAGGACGCCACATCACTCCCCTGCCGAGACCGTTTCACGGTCGATAGTAGTCCGGAAACTTAACTAATCTTCCACTTCTAGTCTTTTTTTCAGGTGGCGGTGCATCGTGATTGGTGTGGAACGGCAGTGCGGTCATCGGTGGACGAATGGTCGTGTCGTATTCTCTGTTTTCTTTCGTAAGGTAAGCTGGTTTTATTCTGTCTATTGTTACTGTAACTTCTTTGCCTTTTATGTCTAATGAAAATGTTTTTGTATTTCTTTTCAGAACTTTATAAGGGCCGGTATATGGTGATTCAAGCGATCGTTTTGCGGGACCACGGCGAAGAAAAACAAACTGTGCAGTATGTATGTCATTCGGCAAATAGAATGTTTTACTGTTGTGGTTTGATGCAGGAGTTGGGGTTAATGCTGCCATATGATTTCTCAAGCGAGCTGTATAGTCTGCTGGATTTAGGTTCTGGTCAAGCGAAGTTGAGAAAAATTGTCCCGGTAGTCGTAGTGGTTCTCCATATACTAGCTCGGCGGCTGATGCCTGCAGATCTTCTTTCCAGGCAGCTCTTATTCCTAGTAGCACTAGGGGAAGTGTTTCAGTCCACTGTGGGTTGTTGTGACAGATGATGGCTGCTTTTAGTTGGCGATGTAATCTCTCCACCATTCCATTGCATTGCGGATGGTATGAGGTGGTGGGACGATGTTCTGCGCCGATCAGGTTGGTGATGCTTTGGAAGAGTTGTGATTGAAATTGTAAGCCTCTGTCTGTTGTTACAGTTTGTGGACATCCATGACGAGATACCCAGTTGGTAATGAACGCGGAAGCACAAGTTTCTGCTGTAATATCCGCTAGTGGATAGCCATCAGGCCAACGTGTGAAGCGGTCTATTGCTGTCAGGCAGTATCTAAAGCCATTAGAGTATGGTAATGGGCCTATAATGTCCAGGTGTACGTGGGCGAAACGTTCTGATGGTACTGGAAAGGTTGTAAATGGTGCGTTCGTATGTCTGTTGACTTTACTTCGTTGGCAGTCTACGCATTCCTTTGCCCAAGTTTTGCAATCGCGTCTTACTCCGGGCCACACAAATCTTTGAGCTACCATTTTAGCAGTGGTAGGGCCGCTTGGATGGCTGAGTTGATGTATGGTTTCAAAAACGCGTTTGCGATAGGCAGGTGTTATGTACGGTCTAGGCGATTTGGTGGAAAAATCGCAGTACAGCTGGTTTTCAGCGATCTGTTTCAGTTGTAGTGCTGTGTTTTTGGTTAGCAAAGCTTGCAATTCAGGGTCTTGAGCCTGATCTCTTGCAAGTGCGTCGTAATTTATAGTGACAATCTCTTCTACACGTGATAGGGCGTCAGCGACGATGTTGTCTTTACCGGGGATGTATTTTAGATCGGTGGTGAATTGAGATATGTAGTCAAGATAGCGGAATTGTCTTGGAGAGCACTGGCTTCTGTTTGTTGTGAAGGCGTAGGTGATGGGCTTGTGGTCGGTGTAAATGCAAAAGTTTCTTGCTTCCAACATATATTTAAAGTGTTTGATACCTTCGTATATGGCCAGTAGCTCCCTATCGTATGGACTATATTTTTTTTGCGATGTCGTCAGTTTACGAGAGAAAAATCCCAAGGGTTCCCAGTTGCCTTTTCGTTTTTGTTGCAAGACAGCGCCGATGGAGTCGTCTGAAGCATCTGTGAATAAGGCTAGATCCAGGTTGATTTCAGGGTGGACAAGAAGAGTGGCTTGAGATAGGCTGCGCTTGCACTCATTGAAAGCTGTTACAAGGTTAGTCATATCGATAGGTGCATTTCCTTTGATGTTACCTGTTAGGGCATCGTTCAGAGGAGCCTGTATCTTTGCTGCATCAGGGATGAATTTCCGGTAGTAGTTTATCATTCCCAGGAACCGTCGGAGTTGCTTTGCTGTTTTCGGCTGTGGGTAGTTGGTAATTGCTTCCACTTTCTCTTTGAGAGGGCGTATGCCTTCAGTCGAGACGCTGTAGCCGAGGAAAGTTACTTCGTTAATGCCGAATATGGACTTAGAGGTGTTTATTAAGATGCCATACTGGTTAAGTCGTTCGAAGACAGTTTTAAGGTGCTGAAGATGGTGTTCTCTGGTCTTCGAGAATACTAGGATGTCGTCAATATACCCATATGTAAATTCCAGGCCTTGAAGAACTTCATCGATGAATCTTTGGAAGGTTTGAGCAGCGTTTCTTAAACCAAAGGTCATATACGGAAATTCGAACAGTCCGAATGGTGTCGTTATGGCTGTTTTAGGTATGTCCTCATTCGCGACAGGTATCTGATTGTAGGCCTTAATCAAGTCAATCTTTGAAAATATTTTAGCTCCAGACAGCTGGTAAACAAAGTCATTAATCTGTCTTATTGGATATCGATCAGGGATGGTTCTGGCATTAAGTGCTCTATAGTCGCCACATGGTCTCCAACCGTCGTCCTTCTTTTTGGCTAAATGTAAGGGAGACGACCATGGGCTCTCTGATCTACGAGCTGTTCCATTTGCGTACATCTCTTCAAACTCTTTTTTCGCAATAAGCAGTCTATCTGGGGCTAAACGTCTGGGACGAGCTGCGACTGGTGGACCAGGGGTAGTACGTATATGATGCTTCGTTTGGTGCTTGGTTTCTTTTGGCTTTCCAGTAGGTTTCGTTACGTCTGGGTAGTTGCGAAGTAAGTCATGGAAGTCGGAGTTTCCAGCAACTGTTTTGATGGTCACCGTTTCCACAGAAATGTTGGCGCAGCGTGGCGCGTTGACGGACAAACTTGTGAGGCCGTCGATGAGGCGGTGACGACGACAGTCCACTAATAGGTTGTAGTGGCCCAAGAAGTCAACACCAATGATGGGTCGTGTGACGTCCGCAACTACGAATCTCCAGGTGAAGTCCCGGCGAAGTCCGAGGTCCAGGTGTAAGGATATGTAGCCATACGTAGCTATGATAGTGTTGTTGGCAGCGTATAACTCATATTTAGTTTTATGACGCTGGTCTCTGGTCGCCGACTTAGGAAAAACGCAAACGTCAGATCCCGTGTCTATCAAGTACTTCAGTTTAGTTTTCTTTTCGACGATGAAGAGGCGGTCATTAGGAGTATGCGTTAGGCAGTCGTTAGCCGCCACTACAGGCTGCCGTTCGCGTTTAAAGTCTTGTAGGAACAGGGCGTGAGACATTTTATGGCGCCTTCACCGAATTTTCTGTGGTAGTAACACACGCTATTCATTTTGTTTTCCTTCCATCTTTGGGTGGAGCGTGAGTGAGATCTTGATCTGTTATACCTACGTTGTGGTGATCTGCTTGATCGGCTATTATGCATGCTCAGGGAAGCAACTTGCTTGGTTAATTCGTTAACTTGCCTGGCCAAGCTTTCTAAAACGGTGAGGTAGTGGTCTGGAGGATTTCCAGCATGTTGGTTAGCTGAGGACGATGTAGCGGCGTAAACATTTGGTGGGGTTGGGGCTGCGATGGCTATAATTTTGTCAGCCAACTCTGCAAGTTTCTCTAGCGGCATATCCATATGCGATGCAATGATAGGTTGAATGTTATTGGGTAACCTATTGTGCCATGCTGATCTAATAAATTCGTCTGGTACCTGTGGTCCGGCCAAATGTTGTAGGTGACGAAGAAATTGTGAAGGCTTTCTAGTGCCGAGTTCTTGATTGTCTAAAAATTGCCTAATTTCTTCTTCGCGCGGTTTACTTAATCGCCTTATTAGCTCCGCTTTGAGGGTTTGGTATTTGTTGTCTTTGGGAGGACTTTCTATAATATCCGCAACTTCAATAGCGAACTGTGGGTCCAGCTGGCTAGTCGCGTTATAAAATTTAGTCGTGTCTGACGTTATCCCCGCCAAACAAAATTGGCCTTCCAGTTGAGCAAACCAGAGTGCAGGTCTATTCGGTAAAAATGGTGGTATTTTAATTCCAACTTTGAAAATTTCATGTGCACCTTTTTCCATATTGTCTGTGTCCCCACCGTTTTCGTCTTGCATGGCAAAAGTGCTAAGACCGCGTGGCGTGTAGTTTTTCTTACTCTTATCACGTCGGGGTCACCAGTATAGTGTTCGTTGTTGTCGTATAAACACTATATAAATAATAAAACTTGTGTGAACTCAAAGATGTATATATTTATCGTAAAAATAAACCGCGGCGTCGGCAGCGAGTTGCACGTGTGTCGCTTAAGAAATCGTGGGCCGTACTGGTGGCGGAGCGCGCTGTGGAATGCGCGTGCCTCGCCCCCCGCCTGCCGCGGAGAACAATAGACACGGTCTATACGTAGAAGTTGGTAAGTACATTTTTAATACATAATTTAATTCTTAGTAATTTTTATTGATGTTTTATTTCAGCTACCAATGACGACGAGGACGCCACATGCGCATATAACTCTCTTACGGTGAAGGAAAACATCGTGAGGAAACTGGCCTTAGACCCAAAAATCAACAGAAGGATAACCTACTTGCCTATTAAAAAATTGATCACAGATACACAATTCTGAGGTCCTGACCTAAATATCTGCAGTCCCTTCAATGTTAGCGACATATATACTGTAGGAAGTTACTAAAGCCTTCGATGATGAATGATGCTATGACTTTACCTTGTAATAGGATGAGGGTAGAAACAAAAACGACAGACACGGACGGTGATTGCCGTGCCGACGTGTTGGAGATATAAATTGTGTCTTGTGTAATATCAAATTTTGGATTTTGAATTTCGGTTATAACTTGGGTTTGTTTTATTTAATTATTATTGTATGGTTCAGTTTTATTTTGGTTGTGAAACAATCTGAAATGTTCTATTTGTTTTAGCTTTGGGAAATGCCCTCAAATTAGATTTTCATTTATTGAATAACAAATTGACTATTTGTTTATGTGATAAACATTACCACATATATTAGATTTGGCAGGAGAAACCGAAATCCTCCTGGCGCCCACATTTATGTATTTTTAGGTTATTATAAGATTTAGTTTAATATATTTAGTTATTGTATTTTGCTAGATTATAAATATCGTAATATATGCTAATTTGTTTTATTTATGTTAAAATCCCATAACAACCTTTTCAGCTGTTGATTATTCGGTGAAGGTCTCAAGGAAGCCGAATATATATAAACAAATGAAACAGATTTATTTAGATAGAGGTATGTCCGTCACTACTTTTAACACAATTTTCCAATATTGAAAACTTGGTCCTTATCAGTTAATATTTACGGAAATCTGGCCCATGAGTTCAAATAACAAAATTATTACCGCTTATGTTACGCTAACTTAATATTCATTAAATATACAAAAAAGAATTTCTTTGAAATGATTATAACTTAGTTAAAAAAATACGTGTGGCACTCGGGGACTGCCGCGGTAAAGCTATTGCATATTTTTTTTTAACTTATGCAATTATAATTATTTGTATATGCAGTATTTTTTTTCTTTGATAAATTAATTCAATCTACCACTCTACCAGACTCAGACTAACGCGCCTATATAGTCTGTCTCACTTTAACGCGCACCAGCTGCACCGATCTCGTCAGAGAGATGGGAATACGCAGTATGCGTTCTGTCCCGCTCTACCGCGTATTGGCCGCACCTATATTACGTCATCGTGTGTTAGGTTTTTTCGTTACGGAATTTCTTGATTCGGTCGCCGCGCTCAAAGCCCGCTATATAATATATTAACTATTAACTTATTAAGGTCAAATATTAATATTAATCTAAATTATGAAAGCTTTAAAAATCTCTATCATTTATGGAATTATTAAGAAAATATATGTTTTTTTCAATAGTTATTTCTAACATTAGTTAGAAAGTAATGTTAAGTTACATATCTAAATATCATTCGCCCCATGCCCCACTTTTACCTGTCCATCATGTTCCATGGCGAGGGTGGACTCGTTATTAGCGCTCTCTTCCCGTTCAATCATTTCCGTGATGTCTGCTACGAGGACCCCGGGGCTGGAAGGGGAGTATTTTAAGCCCGATTTCTTTCCAATCTCCGCCATTGCTATTTTGAAAGGGGTTGGAGTTCTGAAAAATTAAAGAAAAATCATCAAAATCAATTTTTTACGACATGAGCCTCGGGGATTCTTGTCAGAAGTGAAACTAATTTTTAACTCTTGTTCATATTTATACAAATCTAAAACTTTAGTTTCCGAGACTTAGAGGGAGGGAAAAAGTAATATAATATGTTAGGAATTTAATGGTCATTAAAATATTAAGTGTCGAAAATAATATTTTTTTTTTAAATATTAATAAAAACACGTGGCATTTTAATTTACAATTCGTCATTGAGTTTTTAATAAATTATTTTGCATAAAATATAAAATACTATTATTTCATAAATTCTCTTTACGAAATTTTAATTTTAAAATAGAATTTCTATAAAGTAATTCACCCTTTTCACTCTATCAATCGATCCCTTTTCTTCGACAACGTTGCACATCTTCGTGCCGAGAAGTTTTACTTCAAAAAAAACAATGGGAAAAACTTACTTGGGCGTGGTCTTGGAGCCACCGGGCGTGAGATGCGCAGGCGTCGGTGTATGAAGTAATGGACTTTGAGTCCAATCCTGGAAACATTAATGGATTGTTTAGTAGGGAAATCAATTAAAAGGATTTTTTTAATAATATGTGATACATTTATACAACAATATTTAACCTTTGTCAAACTCATGACCGATGAGTTCGATCTTCCTTCGAAACAATTTTCAGAGAGAAATGTCAAAAATAAAAAAATTAATTAATTTATATATTTATACAGAATACAGCCATATTTCATAGAACAGGGGGCTAACGGGCAGAAGGCTCACCGCATGTTAAGTGATCACGGATACTCAATGCCAGAGGGGTCGTGAGTGCGTAGCCGGCCTTTTAAGAATTGGTACGCTCTTTTCTTGAAGGACCCTAAGTCGAATTGGTTCGGAATTACTTCAGTAGGCAGTTCCACTCAGGCGGGGATAAAAAAAAATCAGTGGCGCTACAACCTCTTTAGGAGTGGGCCTCAAATTTTTGAATCTGTTTCGATATAATAGGCAAGTAGGTGATCAGCCTCCAGTGCCTGACACATGCCGTCGGCTTTTTAGGACTAAGACATGTTGGTTTCCTTACAATGTTTTCCTTCACCGTTCGAGCGAATGTTAAATGCGCACAAGTCGAAGATCGAACCTACGACCTCAGGTATGATATCGCACACTGATGCCACTAGGCCAACTCAGGTCGGGGATACGAGTGGAAATACTTTATTTTATAAATTACAAAAAATTCTTAGTGTTTTACCTTAGTAGCTGAATGCCGTAACGAAGAATCGAAGTTCGGGAAGGAGAGCGTAGCAGGCGAATTGAGGAATTGGGAGGGACTGAACGGAAGCGCCTTGATTGGAGTGGCGCCCTCTGACCATGCCTGGAATAAAAAAAAATATAATTTAGCATTTGCCTGAGAAAAAGCTTCAAATTATTATCTATTAATAGAAGCAAGCATCAAAAACGATTCTAGACACAAAAATCATTAAAAATAATATAGAATAACTAGTTGTAGAAACTAACTAACTAGTAGAAAGTTTCTATTACTATTGTATCATATTTTAATAGAAAAATATGTTATATAAACAGTTTAAACACTCTTAGTATTTTAATTGTTAACATAAAAAGAAATGCATAGCCGGGTTCGAACACACGACCTAAACGTTAAGAATTGAATGCTCACTATATATGAGTTTAGTTTAGATTTTTTAAAAGTCGATTAATACAAATAATATTAATAAGAAGAATATAGATACGATACTCATACTCACAGAGTTATTTCTAGAAGCCTTCCCCCGTCGCAGTATGGGAGGTGGACTGGACTCCAGAACTTTCTTCTTCGGAGACATATATATTGGAATATCCTTATTCTCTTGACATAGAAACGCTGGAAAGGTTATTAATAACATTATAAATCGTCATGCTTGTGGAACAATGTCGGGTTTGAAATAAAACCAAAATCCACTTATCATATTTGTATAATACATTGACTAAATATTACTTTTAAAAATATCCATGTGTTTTAAATTTCAAATTAATCGGTCGGTAAAGTGACGGATTTGATAGAAACATGTGATTTTTCTAGAAAATTGTAAATTAATGTTATAATTTTTATTTTGTTTCAAAACAAACCCTTTAGTTTGCTTGTATGCCAATTTTCATAATAATAGAATATGAATTAAAATAGTTATGACAAAAACTAACATGATTATATTATTTTAAAATGGCTGCCTAGTAAAGTTTACCAGATCCGCCACTGTTCTACGGCTATGACGATATTTATTAATTAAAAATTATTATGTAGTAAACAGGTTATTAATAATATCATATATTTTATATTAAACATTTGTAAAAAAATATATAGCAAACGGGCCACCCATAGACATTCTCAATGCCAGAGGGTTCGCGAATCAGTTGCCAGCCTTTTAAGAACTGGAACACTCTTTTTTCGAAGGACCCAAGGTAGCAAAAACTACCTTAAAAAAGCTCAGTTGTGGAACCACGTATATTATATATTTTAAGAGATGGTTTAAAGAAATAGGGATCACACTTTTGAAATAAATTTACTTAAAAAATTTATTATCTCTTTTATCTGTTACTTAGTTAGTAGGTGTACAATATTTAAATTGATTTTATAATATTTTATGTAACTCTAATAAAAGAAAAAGCAGTCTGCGAATACACCGTCCTTCGGTATGATGTTTAATATTAATTATCAATTTGTATACATTACGCTTAAGTACTAAAAAACAATGTTATACGTATAAATGAATATTTACCATTTTGTTCATTACTCGATGACGGTTGCGAAAGGTATGTTTTTATTGGTGATTCATTCGGAAGAGAGTTTATGTTAACGAACCTGAAAAAATTATTCACATATTTATCGCTCTTTTACTGATATCTTTAAATTTTAAAAACGTTTTTTTACCGGAAATCGAACTTACTTCCTTAGTAAGGCAAAATTAGCTTGAACTTAAATACATAAAAATTGTTGAAGGCAAGGTCTTGTAGCTTACTAAGGACATAATAGCTTTTAATGTTATTTATATTACATGTCAATCACGTGACACATCGGTCACAGATTGGTCGAATAGACGATGACGTAGCATGCTAGTAAGAAATGTCACCTGTCTAATTCTAAAATTTAATTTCTAGACTATTTGTGTGACCTTGACGTTTGGTTGTGTGTTTTCAGGCACGGTACGCCATAGGTGGTGCGACGCCATTTTGAAGACGGTTTTTAAAATCATGTTTAAAATAATTTTTTTTTTTAATAGTTACTTATTTTAATTCTGTCTAACGGACCATTCAAGTATTCTGTTGACGTTATCACCATAAAAGAAAATCAAAGACCCCGCCCCTTTAGTGCTTACGTAATACTTGAACGGCCCCTAATATTGCCTATTACGAAAATCACCGTTAAGTCTATTTTTCTAGTAACGAATAACCACTATAATTTGATGTCTAAAACAAATTAAAACTCACTTATAATCCGACCCAAGAATCTCCATAGTGTCCGCAGGAACCAAGCTCCCTCGTTCCGGCGATTCCCTCAAAGTGACATTTGACGAGTTTGACAGTGACACATTTGACATTGACGTGTTTGACGAATTCTGCAACGAGTTGAGTTGCTGCTTTAGCAGCTGACGGAAGTGCAGGACGTGCTTCGATGGCTGGCCATTCGAAGACGTGGTACTTTGTATCGAGTCGTTGAATGGGTCTGACCAGGTATTCTGGAAATATTTAAAGAATTATTAACTATAAAATTATAGAATATAAACGCGATTTATTTACAAAAATATTTGAATTCTTCATATCAAGTATCAAAATTACTATCGAACTATAGTGACATCACAAAAAAAACGTGTTTGTACTTATGTACACGCGTTAGAAGTTATACTTCTTTGGCGTAACAAGATACAAATATTTTTATATTTTTCCTTATGCTACGTTTGTAGAAAAAAACTACACTAAGAATAGAAAAAAAATACTCTCATACTTTTTCCCTATCGCGCCAAAAGAAACAAAAAAAACTAAAATGTTGACTAAAGCTAACTTCACCCTGTCGGTTTTTTGTGACGGTGTGCACATCGTAAAAATTTACTATTATCAATGTTCCCTGTCGCGCCAAAAGAAGTATAACTTCAAGAAGGTAAGTGCATTCGACCTCAAATACAAATCCAATCCAAATGTAAATAGCAACTTCAGGCAATATATTATGACGTTACTGTGGCAACATTTAATAGACTTGATGAAGTAGTCTGCTGACCAAGATAATGGACTTTATTGAGGTATGATAATGCACTTCTCTGAAGGAACTTTACATTTTTTTTTGTTAGAAATAATTACTTTTATAATGATCCAATAAAAAAAAAGTGTTACTGGGTCGTTCTAATGTATTCATTTGTCTCTTTTCAGCACAGTGTAAACACAATTTGCCAGAAATAGACAAAAGATAGATTTAGTTTTTATCAATTAAGGGGAAATATTTAGCTAGCTTAGCATTAAAGTGTTAAAATACTGCACACAAAAATAAATTGAACGAAAAAAATTAATATGAATTTTTCTTCGAATTTTCGAGAAAATTTTGTTTTTCCCAGATAATGGGAAATTTCAATCGAAGTATTTTCCTTGAAAACCATTTAATGTAGTATTATTTAAGTTATTTAAATACTACATCCATTTTGGAAAATAAAACACGCAAAGCGTTAGTCGAAAATATAAAAAAAATATTACGAACTTCTATTTAAAACCATATTATAAATGTGATCCAAATTGGCGAAAATTAATAATCAAAATATTAAAAAAATAAAAAACAAAAAGCACACTAACATCATAAACTACAGCAACCTTTGGCTCAGTGGTGTGATCATATTTCTTGATTTTGCTTTTCCGCCGGGCTTCAAACGCATCTCCGCCGTCCGGCTCGTACTTCCGTCGCATCGTTGAGTTCCAGTGGTTTTTGATTGCATTATCGGTCCTGAAATTCAATATAATATTTTATAATAGACATTAAGCAAATATACATAGATCAACAGAGACACAATTTAAGAAATGTTGTAACTTTAGGTACAATTTTTTGTTTTGTTTTGTGTGACTGAAAAAAAAATTTAATTGCAGCATTTTAATAAGTTTTCTGTTATTTTTCGGCTGTTGTACTTTTTTGCTATTGTAATATACAACTAATTAAGCGTTATATTATTGTTTTAGTATATTTTCTCACGTTTAATAATATTTCTTATTGAAAAATAAATATCTCGAAACCGTGATAAAAATCGTTGAATAAACATTTCGTTTGGGAGTTAAGAGCGGGCATTAACCAAAATCACTTGATTTTATCTAAGTATGTGATGTTTGAATTAAAAACACAATACAATATAAATTATAAAAAAAAAAACACTATTCATTAGTCACTTCTAACTTTTGTGTTATTTCGTTATTATTCAGTTATGACAAGTGTAATGGTGTAAAAAAATAATTGAATTACAGCACTTGAGTTTGTCCGAAAGCTGTTACTAACGATTTTATTATAGTACATTTTACGAGTTCTTTAAATAAAAAGCATTTGGCGTTTACTTTATTTTTGTTCCGAAAAATACTGTATCGTCCGTCTAATCTCACGTGACTTCAGGCATACAGATACCGGCAAACATCTTGAACAAATCTCTTGCCTGCGCAGACGCAATTTTTAAGTGTCAGGGGGGCGTGGTGCGCGGCGGCGGGAGAGTGACGTGTCGATCGTGATTGGTAAATCAGTTCAAGCTGTTTGCGGGTATCTGTACGTTTGTTCCACTAGGGCGGGCGGAGGGAGGGGCGCGGGTGAAACCATGAATTTCGGTAGCCTCTTAGGTCGGTAGCTCTTAATGTAACTTGAATCCATATAAAAATACACCTTAAGGCAAAGCAATAAAGAGGATAATGCGAGTAATGGACTGACCTGCCGGGCAATAGTTTGGCGATCTTAGCCCACTGGTTCCCGAGCTGTTTGTGTGCCTGGTATATTATCCTGTCCTCATGTTCCGTCCATGCCGTCTTCTTTATCGACGGGTTGAGGTGATTGTGCCATCTTTCCCTGAAATTGAATAAAAATATATTAGTTTCATAATAATAAAATATGTTTAAACGATTATTAGGAAAGATATACGCTTATTATTAGAATTAATTTGATTAGATATTTTGAAGCGAAACTTGCGTCACGAAGATGTGCAGCGTTTTTGTCGAAGAAAAGGGAGAGAGCGATTGAGACCGATTAAGAGTGAGAAGGGCGAATTACATTAAAGCAATTGTATTTTAAAATTTCGTTAAGAGAATTCATGAAATATTAGTATTATATTTTATGCAAAATAGTTTATTGAAATCTCAAATGACGAATGGTAAATTAAAATGCCACGTGTTTTTATTATCGAAGCTATAAATTTAAAAAATTAAATTTATTAATTGCATGACTTTTCGACACTTTCAATATTTTAATGACAATTAAATTCATTAAATTTCTAACATATCTTTCTTTTTCCCTCCCTCTAAGTCTCGAAAATCTAAAGTTTTAGATTTATATAAATATGAACAAGACTTAAAAATTAGTTTGCCAAAGTAGTTTCACTTCTGACATATTGTGTTTACCTGCATTGTTTTCCTATCCTTCCCTTGAGATGCCGCGCGATAAGCGTCCATTTCTTCGGGCCGTACTTTCCTACTAATTCTACTACTTTCTCGTCTTCCTGAAAATTAAAAATATTTATATAAAAAAATTGAAATTTAAACATGACTTACTTTTACTTTTACTTATATTTAAATAAGAATTGTTTTAGTATCAGTTGTATAGTAGCTTTTTTCTAATTGCTTAAAGCTAAGCTAAGTTAAATATTAGACAAAAACGAAATCAGTCATTGCAGTTTTATTACTCATTCTCGTTTTATCATAGCGTAAACACAATTTGACAGAAAGAGACGAAAGATTGTAAAGGAAAGATGCTGAATTGTTCCTTCAACCTTAAGAAGGGATTTTCGACCAGTCTTACCACTGACAGGCCTGAAGACATCAGTGGGTTTAGCCATCGAGAAGTTGTATATATCTTTAGCAGCCGGAATAACTTAGATAGCGCGTTTCAGTATGCTCAGATTGTATGTGTCGCTACTATGTTGTGTAATGAGAATGAATAAAAGTGTATATATTTATACCATAACTTTAACGCGTTAAGGCCAGTTCTAGATCTCTTTCACATCGCTAAAGTATGTAACTCTACCTCAAAGTGCTTTTCAAGAAGCTTAAACACCAAACTACAAACAGCTATAGCTAGCCAAACTAGACCTGCATCAATCTTCGATCAAGTGTAAGGGAACTTTTATCTTATATAAAGTAAGAATATTCTTCCGTCATCAGTAATGTAAAATATAAATAAATGTTTCATAAATACCAATTACAAGGGCAGTATTTCCTATACTTACTAATAAATATAACAATCGTAAGTTACATATATAAATAGATTTTAGTTAATAATTAAAAGCGTAAACAAAATGTTAACTTGAGCATTTTAGTTTTCACCACACTCATAAATTCTAATTTACCATTTTCGTTAACGATAATGTCCAATACTTGTTATTGTCACTTAGATTTACGAACTATTCAACAAGTCAAGTTACTTTTTTGGTTATCCAGCGTCGCAACCCCACTATCCCTAATGATATCTTAGTAATACGTTTATAACAGTTGTTACCCAGCTCAAAACAGTTTTTCTTTTAACATAATCTGAACATCCATACAACAACCGCCACCAAACCTAACCCGTAACTCCAACTATTTATATATTTTCCTGCGCAATAAGGGAGCGTTCAAGTATTACGAAACGAATTTTGGGAGGGGGGCCTTTTGTAAAACGTTACGATGCGGGGCGGGGATTAAATTACGCGTTAATATTTTTTTCGACTTTTTTTTTTTATGTAATAGGAGGCAAACGGGCAGGAGGCTCACCTGATGTTAAGTGACACCGCCGCCCATGGACACTCACAATGCCAGAAGGCTCGCAAGTGCGTTGCCGGCCTTTCAAGAATTGGTACGCTCTTTTCTTGAAGGACCCTAAGTCGAATTGGTTCGGAAATACTTCTGTGGGCAGCAGGTTCCACTTACACCACATAATAGTTACTTAAGAGTCACTAGGTGGTCACGAAACGTTTTACTATACTTGGGTACTGAAAAACGTTACGGCGAGTTACATGGGGGGTGTCATCTCTCCAAAAATTGCGTTTCGTAATACTTGAACGCTCCCTAGTTACCCAGTGTTAAGATATAGAGCGTAATTTCTAAATCAATATCGCTTTGCATGATCAAAGTTAGTTAGAAGATTCATATTCTATACAAAAAATAATGACAAAAAGATCGTGTGAAAATACGTTACTTTTCAAGGTCGTGGCGTGGGCGATCAGCTGTTTGTGACTGATATTGAGGCCCGATGCATTTAGTAACTGGTTAGACCAGGCGGAGACAGAATTATTACTGTGTGGTATTTAATGATGACATAATTAATTTAATATCTGTTCCTTTATCGTTCAAGCATAATATAGATGTAACACACGTGTAAAATAAATATTATATGCATTTATTTATTAGCTTCCATGTATTTAAGACTGGCTGGTTGTCTCTCTTATCATTGCCTATAAACCTGGGCACGTTAGGTCTATTGAGTAGTGGAGGAAAGCTGTTTAATTCTAACCTAGAAAGGAAAGCGGAGTAAAAACACAGTAAGTAGGTGATCTGCGTGCACAGATCAGCCTTCTGTGCCTGACACACGCAGTCGAGTTTTGGGAAAGCCGGTTTCCTCACGAAGTATTCCTTCACCGTCCGAGCAAATGTAAATGCGAACATATAAAAAACGTCCATTGATGCACAGCCGGGGATCGAACCTACAACCACTAGGCCAACACTGCTCACCTACTTGCCTACTAGAAAAAGATCTTCTTGAAATTTTAGACTGAACTGCGGCAAGAAATGAATGAAATATATATTTCAAGTATAATTGTGCGTGGAACATCTCGTATCTAGATTTATGATGTAACAATACATATTTAGAGCATGACACACTGGTTGACCCTGGCGGGGTCAGTTTTTCTGTTTGTCTGTAAATACTGGTAATGGTCGACTCATGTAAAAGATAATCTACAATCGGAATATGAGCGTGTATTTTGATTATATTATAGCACTTAATAAATGACAATACATTATCATTCCTTACATATATTTAATTAAGGTCATTGACTCCACACATTAAATTGAGGAGACTTAATTTTGCTAAGGAGTTATTTGAAGAAAAATATCTCTCTAAATTTTTAGTTGATTGATATGTACAGTGGAATCTCTGTTACTCGAACCTCGTTAAGTCGAAGCCTCAGTATGTCGAAAAAATAGCGATTCCCTTCCGCTGAACCCGTAAATACGCGGTATCTCGAATTATTTAGACTTTGTAACTCGAACAAAATGTTATTTCCCTGCGAAGTATTGATAATACATTTTTACTCTATAACTCGAATTTCAAAAAGAAAGTAGTAAAATATACTCATGTTTTACTTGGAAATAATAGCAATAAAATCCAAAATGACTGTTCGGGTTCGGGGCTTCTAATCTATAGGTCTTGTCTTGTAAACGTGCAATGAATGAATACAATCATAAAACTTTAAATTTAAGGTAACACAGCACTGAACGTTTTGTTTATAAAAAATTTGCAAATAGTTTAAATCAAAAGAAAATAACGGATCTTTATTGTACTTCATTAATCGTAAGTCGTTTTAAAATGTAAAAAATATATACAACGAAACTTAGGTTAAATTGTTATTCAAATTCGACCCTACAAATCGAAAAATACACTTATAAATCGCGCCTCAGTAACTCGAAATTTCAGCAGTTAATCATATGTATCTCGAAGTTCCGAAGTCGAAGTTAACTCGATTGTTTTTGCATTTCCCGTGACATTCGAGTTATAGAGATTCCACTGTATTTTACAACAATCTTCCTATTTACCGTAATTTTGTGTATTACGCTCTTAATGAGGTTTAAGTTTCTTTTTATTTTTTTTACCGTTTGCTTGAGATTTTCGTTGCTAGTTTCGAGTTTTATGTTCAAAAATGATGTGTGTGTGTAAAATTTGTGACGTCATATTTTCTTGTATCTTTCAAGCATACATGTTTTTAGGACTTATTAAATAATTAAAAGTATATAAGCGTTGATTGAGCCATTATCACAAATACCGTATGATTTTTATGATTATAAGAGAGATATTATTTGATGGTGCTGCGAGATAAACGGGAACCGTGCCACTTATCCGACAATATTCTTGAAACATTTGGCAGTACGGCCCCCGCGGCTCTAGCTTTACCTTTCCTAATGTACACATTAATTAATTAGGCAAATTATAAATTATTTTATAATATGTATTACGAAACTATTACCATATTTAAGTGCGATTAATAAAGTCACGAAATTTGCAGTAGTTTATAATTCCGTGGTATGTTGTTTTCTGTTCAACTAATTATTAATGGGTTCTGGCACAGATTTCTTATTAACTAATTGTGTAAAAGTTTTACATTATTACATTACCACAACTTAACGAAAAACCAGGACTCTGTAATCACTAAGTAACCAAGAGCTCTTTAAAACTTTAAGTATTGCCTAAAAACATTCTTGTTGATAAATATCAAGAATCACGTCATCATTTTATACCACTCAATTCCATTCATGTAATAAAATGCTAAATTTATCTACTTTAAATGTAAACCTAAAATTCCGATAGCGTCTGCATATTGAATAAATTATGTCTAAGCATTAGGAATATTTATTTTTCTAGTACGAACTGCCCTCTGGTATCAGTTTTCAACTGAGTCCAAATGTGTCAATTCAAAAATTTAGTTCGGCATTATCGTAAAAAATATTACAAAATATTTTTTATTATTTTATTTTGGTTTTATAATTATGTATGTCTACACTGTGGTGTTTTTTTTTTAAATTTAGTTATACACTTTTTGCACTTTTTTTTTCTTACAAGGGTTGCCTGTAAGCGATCGCTTGTTAGCGATAAATTAAGGGGGGTGGCCTTACGTTTTCTGAATATATATGTACCAAATATGTAATGCAAGTGTTGATAAATAAATAAATAACATAGTATTTCAATACTACCAGTCATAACTTCAAATTGGATTGCGTGTTAGTTTTATTAATACACTTATCAGTCTCAAGTATTTAGTCAGATACTTTACATATATTTATATCAGAAATGTTAACAAAACATAAGTTCATAAGTTTTAAGACACACAAATAAAATATACTTTTTAAGTACCGAGATTTACAATGATAAGAATTAAGAGTCAAAGTAAAATCTAATATATAAAATTCTTGTGTCACAGTTTTCGTTGCCATACTCCTCCAAAACGGCTCGACCGATTCTCATGAAATTTTGTGTCCATATCGGGTATGTCTGAGAATCGGACAACATCTATTTTTCATCCCCCTAAATGTTAAGGGTAGTCCACCCCTAAATATTTTTTTTATTTTTAGATATTTTTTTATGATACAGCATTAAAAAATACATACAACGCCCTAACTTTCACCACTCTACGATCAACCCCTATTTTTTTATTATAAATGATATATATGGCAAAACGACGTTTGTCCGGTCAGCTAGTAAATTATAAAATTGTTAGTTCTTAATGTCATGTATCCATATTTATAATTACGTAACTTTTTATATGCAATACTTTAATTGATCTAAATATTCATGAGATTAGGCAAATTCATTTTTGCAAGTAGACTGATTTAATATGCATTTATGTTTGATTCTTTTTAATAATATAGATTGTATGGCAATTAAGGTTTATAATAGTTTACCAAAAAAGATTAATTTATTTGATTAATTTGATTTTATTTAAAAATATTATTCTATTAGATAATAATTATTTGCGTTGACATTATAATTAATATTAATTTGATAACATAATAATATATTTTAATGATGTGATATTTTATCACTACGAATAATATAAGAATTGACTAATTGATATGACTCACAATGTATATATGTATAACTTTTATGTAAAATTCCTTTTAAGACAAATTTGCACGCCATTCTGTGTGGCAAAATATGCTGATATTTGGTCATACATATTTGGTCGTAAAAACCGATAGTCGTAACAGCCGATGACGTTGCTATCAAGTATCTAACACAATAGAATTCAGCCGGGACCTTTGAATTTGGTCAATATAACCGGTATGTTGTTCTAAACGATGTCGTCGTATCGTCGTCGGTTTTGAAAGTATGTTTATTATGGATTATAAGATACAGGTATCACTTATTCCACGTCATTAAATTATTAATTCCTACTCAACGGCAAAGAAGACAGAGGGTGTAGGCCGAGAGAAAAAGCCGGCGTAAAAAACTCTCTGCACTCTTTTAAAATTTCAAACCATCTTACAAAATGACTATGGCAAACGTAACTCTTTATTTGTATTAAATTACTTAACTGATTTTTAACTGATACTGCCGCCCATAGACACTTAAATAGCCAGGGCTCGGAAGTGCGTTGGCTGCCTTTAAATTTGTCATAATTTGAGCACATTAACTATACAAAGAATTTACGATAGTAAACTAAATGTATGACATCATCCATTCATATATCAACTACCGAATGCCAAACACAAAGATTCTTAGATTTCATCAATGGGAAGGTTGTAACTTGAATACCAAATATGTTCATTTATGTGTGTCATACGAGAGCTATGCTATATTTACCAGCTGACATTAAATATTTGATTGGATTATAGTTTGAGTGTATACGAACGTGTAGAATTTAAATATATCCGGAATAAATTTGAAAAAGTTTCATTTCTTTTGAAAAAAAGCTCGTAAAGTATTGTTGTAGTTAAAAAACTACTTTTACATGCATTTGTCGCGCTCCTAAACAAGACTGCTATGGTTACATTAATTATGATTGTATTATATTATTTTGTAAAATAAAGCAATTAAAAAAAATTGAACTTTTGGAAAAAGCTTTCATTCAGTTCAAACGGCATAAAGCCTTGACAAATAAACCTACCGTCATAAATTCGTAAGATTCTAGATTCAGAATTTCACCATAGTATAATACATACACATAATTCCATTAATAAAACATAATTTATGCAGAATGCAAAATGCATGCACGCGTTGGTTACTGACCTATGATTCACCTTTCTTTGCGCTACTTAATGGCGAATTCAATGCCATTGCAAACAAAATATGGACTAAGGATACAGAACCAACCCAGAATGTATAACCACTTACAGAACATAACCATTGTCACCCCTTATTCATACACAAGGTTCAAATCAGCAGAATTTTCTGCAAAAACCAACCTAGGAGTTCAGGCACCTCTCATTCGAACTCTTCACGAATATAACAGAATAAACACTACTTATCCAGAGCTTGATGTATTCGGTAGTGGGCTGATCATTTAAAAAAACTATCTTATATCTGGTACCTAATCCAGATTGTTAAACAAAAATTACAAGTAAAAACAAAAATTGGAAGTTTAATTTTGAGGTGAAAACTTCTTTAGCGGCGTTGTACACTTTTTTTGGAATGCGTAAAAAAAATTAAACTCGCGTCAGGACACGTGACCTGATCGAAAATTCGTAAGACGGATGGAGAGTAGACAGCTGGCGCGGCGTATTTAACGTAATATAAATTGTCGTGTTTGTGTACGATAGCGCAATAAATAAATATTGTATTCTACCACATAAATGATAGTAATTTTATACTGATAAAATTAAAGTAATTCGTGCAAAACTATTCTCCAACCATTCCAAAATATTTTCAAGTTTTCACTTCTGCTGGCACTCCCGGAGTGCAACCCGTCGTTTTTTTTTTTGTACCATTTATGTTCAGAATAATTGTCATGTATTTTAGAATAGATAGTTTGTGACATATACTTTAGAAAATGCATTATATATTTGGTGAACTTTAATAAATTAATATAAGTCGCACGTATAAAAAAAACTAGGTACACAATATAAAAATTGTCATCTAGAACTCACCTCCTTGGTCCAAGGGCCTTTGACTAGTTTGGGGTCGACAACTTTGGTCCATCTCTGCTGGCACTGCACGTCCGACCGATCGGGGAACTGGGCAGCTATCATCTCCCAGTTCTCTTTGTACATACGAACGTATGTCTTGAGTTTCGCGTCCTGAAATATTAAAACTCTAATTAAGTAACTTAATTTGTAAGCCGTCGGGTTCGTATAGTTTTTTAGACAATGGATATCGACTTCTCTAATAAAATTAGAGGCAGGTTCCAAAAACTAACACGCCTATAACAACTCTCAAATACATACACAAACATTCACACATACTTAATGTCTAATACAACTTGTGTTTGATTAGTTGTAACACAAAGACCAAGTCATTAGTAATTAAAGTCAAAGTCAAAAATCATTTATTCATCAAGGTAACACAGTGTACACTTATTAACGTCAATAAAGAAATGCAAATTAAATGTTAAATGCTTCTAATTTTAGATTCACTGCCAGTTCTCAAATCAAGGGCGTAGAACGGAAGAGAAGAACTGGCAATAAATTCCCCGCCACTCTTTTTGATCGCCAAGTTTTCTGTTTTACACAACGTTTGTAAGGAGCTGCAACCATTATACCATGTTCCAAGTACTAAATAATAATAAAATAAATTAAAAACAAAGATTTGTCCTCTATGAGCAGGAGGCATGGTGAAATAGGAGCACGCACTTACATTCTCGTGGGAACAACACGCAAATAGATAGTCGAAATATCTAACATCACCGCATACACGATTGAATTTGAAATTGACATTGTTTTGACATTTTTGAATAAAGAATTCTTTTTTATAAAAAAAATTACTAGGATTATCTTATATCTTACCTCTTCCTTACTCCACCTGCCTCTATTACAGTTCTTCCGGGTTCCGGTACTTTTGGTCGTCTGCAGATCTTCATACTCAAATGCCACCGAGTCATCGCTGTACTCGCTCGACTCGGACTCATTGCCGCTTCGTCTGTAACAAAACAATATTTCATTAAGTTATAGTTCATATAATTCGAGTATATATTAAATAATAATAATGTATTTAGATTACGCGGGTAAAAATGGTAGGAGATTTATTTATTTACAGTTCGTTACCTTAAACATACATATAAAAGGTAAATTAATAGGCAACAGAATAGGAAATTCCACCCATATCACCTCGACATCCGTCGTTCCACAACTAAGCGTTTTTAAGGCAGTTTTTGCCGCCCACCTACTACTACTATGTGGAACCAGCTGAGCGCTGAAGTATTTCCGAACCAATTTGACTAAGGGTCCTTCAAAAAAAGAGCGTACCAATTCTTAAAGGCCGGCAACGCACTTGCGAGCCTTCTGGCAATGTGAGTGTCCATCACTTAACAGATGAGCCTCCAGCCCGTTTGCCCCCCTGTTACATTAAACAAGTGATTTCATTCAGGCAAAAAAAAGCGATTAGTTACCCTGGTTTGCCATCGTGACTTAATACCGTAAAGCTACAACTCAACAAAAAAACTTCTTCGATCCTTTTTTTATAGGATAGCGGGGCAAACAACGTAGGACAACCAAAACTGGAGGCTTCTCAGGGAAGACCCCTACCGGGAGTCAATTAAATAATTATTCACTGCGATCTCTCGGTGAACTTAGATAAAAATAAATTATTATTGATAATTTAATTAGTTTATACTAATAATTAATTTGCTTTTAAATTTATTAATTTTTAATTATTATTACTAAGTAGGTATGAATATTGTAAATACTGTATATTTGTGTGCGTTTTTAATTTAAAACAAACTACCAAGCGAAATTAGAGAATTATCACTGAATAAATTCAAAACTCTCGTTATACGTAAATAAATCAATAAAGCTTTATATAAATTTGAGGGTTATTTAAATGATTCTAATCTTTGGGATTGATTTGCTCCAGTTTAAACAATTTGTATGACTAAAAACTTGGCTTTATTTTACTTTAATTAAAGAGATTAAGAGATTGCGGAGAGTTTCTTGCCAGTTCTTGCCCGCTCTACGCCCTTGACTTGCGAACTGGTAGTAAATGTAAATATTTTTTCGTAAAACGGAATTTATCTATTGGCACTGAATCGTTTACATAGATGCACAGAATGCAATTGTTAAGTCGAGATACTTATTTAATACAAACTGCAAAAAGCAATAATATTTTTTAAGATTAATTGTACTTCACAAGTACTTTAATTTCAAAAAAGTTGGTAACTAATCACATTGTATTATTTTTATGTAAAGAATCATTTTAATAAACAATTCAGGCGGTTTAATATCAAGTGCGAATCTCATTAACATACTCGTAAATGGAAAATCTTAAAGCCATCAACTTTTTCATACATTGCACACAAAAAAGTGGCGCCATCTTTCCTTCAATGCACAAAAGTACAATAGGAATTCTAGGAAGAGAGCTGGTTTTTATAAGTGGTTCGTTCAAATTTCAACCGCTTGACCAATACACAGAGTCTATTATTTAAATTTGAATACCGGTTTCGATATTCGATGAGGTAAGGATTGGCCATCAGCTGAGAAACTTGTTCCATTCTGGGTTCAATATCAATTTTGACACACTCTATTTGTGATGTATGACTTTGTTTATTTTGACGCAAATGGGGAAACAAATTAAGAAAGATATTAATAATGTTATAGTATAAAATAAATCATCAATTTCTGTATCTGTTTCATGATCATTGGTCAATCTAATAGGCAAGTAGGTGATCAGCCTCCTGTCCTGACACACACCGTTGACTTTTTGGGTCTATAACCGTTTCCTCACGATGTTTTCCTTCACAGTTCGAGCGAATGTTAAATGCGCATATAGTCCATTGGTGCACAGCCGGGGATCAAACCTACGACCTCAGGTAGGAGTCGCACGCTGAAGACACTAGGCCAACACTGCTCAATGTTATTATACTTTGGTATTTAGCCGTTAAAATACATATTAATCGTGAAAATAAAATATAAATTGCTGCATAGAAAATCAGACACATTTACTAACATGGCCCCACAATAAAGCTGTCTTGTGAATTACAAAAGGATGACGTCACACAAAATTTGATAACAGCGTTGATAGAGTCCGGCAAAAGAATTTCGCAAAGCTTAATGTACAATACACAGTACTTAGAGGGCCGGTTACTTATATTCGTCATAGTCGTAGAATAGTGACGGATCTGACAAATAGTAAACTTTACAGGGCAGCCATTTCAAAATAATATCATCATGTTACTTTTTGTCATAACTATTTTAATTCATATTCTGTTATTATGAAAATTGGCATTCAATCAAACAAAAGGGTTTATTTTGAAACAAAACAAAAATAATAACATTAAATTACAGTTTTCTAGAAAAATCACGTTTCTATGAAATCCGTCAATTTACCGACTGATTAATTTGAAATTTAAAACACGTGGAATATTTTTTTTTAGTGTAGCCGTAATATTTAGTCAATTTAGTACACAAATATGATAATAAGTGGATTTTGTTTTTTTTTCAAATCCGACATTGTTCTACGATCATGACGAATTATGTACGTACTGATCCGGCAAACGTCGTTTTGCCATGTATATCATTTATAATAAAAAAATAGGGGTTGATCGTAGAGGGGTGAAAATTAGGGGTTGTATGTATTTTTTAATGTTGTATCATAAAAAACATAAGAAATGAAAATTTATCTAAAAATTAAAAAAAAATAGGGGTGGACTACCCTTAACATTTAGGGGGATGAAAAATAGATGTCGTCCGATTCTCAGACATACACAATAAGCACACAAAATTTCATGAGAATCGGTCAAGCCGATTCGGAGGAGTATGGCAACGAAAACTGTGACACGAGAATTTTATATATTAGATACTATAGGTATCACTTAACATCAGATGAGCCCCCTGCCCGTTTGCTCCCTGTTCTATATAAAAACACAGTTGTGGAATCGGAGAAATAGCAAAGTTTCAAGCAATTGTAACGGAGGTAAAGGAAGGTATTAATGCTTTATATATATTGATAATAATATCAATATAAATGTGTGCTTGTAATTAAACTCCTTACCGGCTGGTCCGAGTTTGATGAAATTTTTTTTGTGTGTGAATTCGAGAATAGTTTAGATTTAACATTAGATGATATTTTCTTTTTTGGAAAAGACGTGTACAGAAAGACGCCTTTCCGCTTTTTTTATATAATATACAGGTAACACATCTATTAAGGTAATCTTTGTCCTAATCTAACATTCTTTTGTTTAAAATTTAAGCATACAAATTATTAATATTATTATGTCGGTAATCACAAAAACTTACATAAACAACATCACGATTCACGCTTTATAACTAACAAAATAAACACTCCACATAACGACTAGTTAATAAAAATTGCACAAAAATATCCCGTTCCCGCCAAAAGCCATTCTCCGACGCACGCGCACCGAACGTCACCACTGCACTAATAAAAGAAATCAAAATTTACATGTGTGGGTAACACGCACACACACCCACGTACAGACTAAGGGTGAATACAAAACCCCCTAAGGGATGTGCGGGATAAGGATAGCGAATAAATGTCTTATGAAGGAAAGAGACGGATATAAGTAACCCTCTGGGAACCCGTGACGCAATGTAAAAGGTGCAGGCAGGTGTTAGACGTGTTTAGACAAAGAATGAACTTCGTGTAGGATAGGTCAGCGACTGTCTAATTCCTTACATACATTTAATAATAATAATTTATTTGCAAGAAAATAAGAAAAATATTATGGTGGTATAATCTAAACTTTGAATATTCTACCACACATAATGGCGTCAAATTTGCCTTATGTAATTAAAACTTAGAATTTTACATAATAGTTACATATTACATTACACTATTAATTATATCATCATAGCGAATTCCTCTATTATTTCATCAATATATCATTAAATATATATATGCCTTTGGTAGCTTTGGTCAAATAACTTAAAATATTGAACCGACATTAAAATGGAATAAAAAGTATTAAATAATAGGCGCGACAACCTTTTTAGGTCTGGGCCTCAGAACTTTGTATGTGTTTCATGATAATTTGTCAATATAATAGGCAAGTAGGTAATCAGCTTCCTGAGCCTGACAGGCCGTCGACTTTTTGGGTTTAAGGCAAGTTACTTACGATGTTTTCCTTCACCGTTCAAGCGAATGTTAAATGCGCACATAGAAAGTAAGCGATAATTAGTTTATGAAGATTGTTATAGGCTTCTTTACATACACAGAACATAGTCTAATAATTTTTCAACCCATAAGTCTTGAAGACAGTGTCTTCTGTGCTACACATGTCCATCTTAAATCTAAGAACATTAAAGTCGCTCATAGCGCGAAGTATGTGAAAACTTATTGCGGAAGGCACAGCGTAGGGCGGTAAGGCGCACTAAGAATCTTTCTAAGACTCGTACACAAACTTTACGATAGTTTCTACAGATACCTCAATACGATAACAGTTTATGACAACTCAGCTATCGACCATACACGAATCGCGATACAGGTTCGTGCCGAAATCTTCCATACAAATGTATCGTCATATGATTTGACCTATTATACCATAATGTAGAAAGTGTCAATTGGGCATAATACATGCAGTACATGCCCAAAACTCGAATGACCTTTGAGCACTCTCAACCAACACTTCCGTATATTTTTCATCAGATACAGAGTTCTAGACATATCAAATATTCACACAACATTAGTTTACCTTATTGTAACACATATTACAAAGGTAGTTGATCTCCGCATTCTTCGAAACGGGACAGATTTGGCAAAAAATAGGGGTCTGGGACGGAAGCGCTAATTCGGAACGGGAATCCCGTTTTTGCGCTGATTTAGTACTGTCAGCTGATTTACATTTGGGACTTGTTTGTTACACATTTAAGCTAGTTATATAAATCAAAAATTATAAAGGCTGATTATGCTCGAAGAGACTAGTAAATAGTAAACAAAATACGATGATAAATACAGTTGATTTTACATGAATTATTTTTAATATAACACTGTATGTATATCAACTTCCTGTGTATTGATAAGACCCATTCAAAATGTTCAGGGCAATGCCAGATATAAAATTTAATCAGATAACTTAAATATGTTATTGCAGAGACGTCACAACATCTACAACTTCACGATACCTATCTATCTACAAAAAGTTCTCTATCTCTTAGATACACAGATATTGTATGTCACTTCATGACGTACTCAGCTAGTAATATCCTAATGTGAAAAACTAAACTAGCGATGTATCATACATATCGTCACTGTAAATAACCTCGTACCTATGTCTAAAAAAATATTATTTTTTATTCTTAGACTCTTATATAATATGGTATAATCATGAAGTAAAGACTTATTTATGTTATTAATAAATAAGTCCTTTTTACCATCTAAAACTATGGACAAAAACACATAATATTTTAACGAACATTGACGAAATTCTTCGTTTCCTGTAATGTTTAGTTCTATCGACATACGAGGTTATCATTCTACAGCGACGATATGTCGATACTAAATCGCTTGTTAAAGCTTTTCATGGAAGCCACCTACGGAGTCCAAAACCTGCTACCAAAACAAGTTTGAATGAAAGTCTTGAAGTGTAAACAGTCGCCCTTTAACAGGAAACATGGGACATGAGTGTATTAACTGGACACTTCCTCGGGACCCTCCTTGAGGAAGTTGTCTTTTATATGTTCGTAAGGGTGACTCGATATTAAATCTAAATAGTCATTACGATCTGTGATTACATTGAATTGTACTTCCTTACTACAATGACATTTTATAATTACAACAATAAATTTTTTTTCGTATAAAGAAAAAAAATACTTTTTTATCAAAGTGTTATTCCAGTCTATAAGTAGGATCCTAATAATGAGTTGAGTGATGATGACGATCCAAGGCGACATCAGTGCTTCGGGATTTATTGGTTTTTATTGGAACTTACAGAGAAAAAGCGCGGGAACGCACATTAAACACAAAGTCTAGAGTCTGGCTAACGAAATTAGATACTGGATTTTTTTGCAAACTTTTTATATGACAACACTAAAGTTAGTACGATCAAAATGTCTTGATATTTTTTTATTCTAAATAAGTACATATTAGTTTTAGTTACTTTAGATAATGTTATTGTTCTTTTACAGATAGTCTTGAGATTATTAGCCAACCGTTATGAATTTAAGAAAAACAAAAATGAAAATTCATTATTAATTGAACGATATGATATAGCTGCATGGAGACATCGCTTTTTGCGTACCATTGCATCGAAACGTGCAGAAGGCAAGCCAATAATCTACTTAGATGAAACTTATGTCCACAAAACCTATAAGCCTAAAAATTGCAAATAAAAATGAATGTCAAAGTATCAAAGTGAGTTGTTCCAACTTTCCTTTTTACTTTAGGGCTGCCATGCTGATATTTTTAAATTTGCCGCGCTTTTTCAGTATCAACTTTCATTAGCCAGACTCTATCATCCTTCCTAGTGACTTAAATAAATATATATAAATTATGGTGCAACTCAGCGACGAAGCTTTTTTTTTGAAGTGAAACTTC